CCAAGCGGGAGATAGGCGATATACGAGCCTGAATCTGACCTGATGGCGGGCGTACGCTGGATCGGGGCGCGAGCGCACAGCCTTGCGGGATTGCCGACTGATGCCCAGCGACTCTTCGTCCGACCGCCTCCCCGCCCGTGTTCATTTTATTTTCGCACCGACGCCGTCGCCAGTATCTCCCGAGTGTCTTGAAATCCTGTCTGGCTGCAGACTGCACCTGCATCGTTGCGTCCGACTGCATCTGGTACACCCCGAGAGCCGTCTGACAGGCGGGCGGTAGTGCGATTACCCAGAACGGTCTCACCGATCACATTCGGCTCGCTGCACCAAACATCCCGCCACCGTCTCCCCTCCGACTGCTGCTTGTCTTCTCCTCCCATCCCCGCCCCGCCTCCCGCCTCCTTTCTCCCCTCTCGTCCTCACTCTCCTCGTCCCCAGCCCGTCCATGCTCTCCGCCCTCCTCTAATCCGTCGACGACTTTCCTCCGTTGGGCGATGCTAGTCCCACTCGTACCATGTATACAACCCATGTCTCGCCAGGCCATCACTCCCTCCAGGTCCACAATTCTTATTCAAACCACATGCCAAACGGCCATCGCCAACCCCCTCTTCACAATGGCCCCGCCCATCCTCCTGCCCACCATCACCGCTCTCCTGTCTCCCAGTCCACAAAGCAGCCCGTCACCGTCCTCGGCATCCCCTCCGTGTCCGTTCACGACAACCAGCTCCTCATCGGCAACGCGCAGAGCAGTGCGTGTCAACTTTCCCACTCTTTCCTTCTGCCTCACTCGACTCTTATGCTGATGTTCTTTCTGATTTCTCTTCAGCGTCGGCGCGCTCGTACACGCCGCTCAAGGTCGTCGGCGACGGCTCTTTTGGCACTGTCTGGCTCTGCGACTGGCATGGGACGCTACCGCCCAACACACCCGTGTCCACCATGCAGTGCGGCGCTGGCGCACGCCCGGAGTACGCGGGGAAGAGACTCGTCGCTGTTAAGCGGATGAAGAAGAGGTGGGAAGGCGGATGGGATGAGTGCAAGAAGCTCAAAGAGCTCGAGGTGCGCCCCTCTTTCCGCTATTCCTTCCGCTCCCTCGTAACGCGCCTCCCACCCATAGTCTTTGCGTGCAATACCGTACCATCCCCATATAATACCCCTATACGACTTCTTCCTCCTCCCCGACACCAAGGAGCTCTACTTCGTTTTCGAGTCCATGGAGGGCAACTTGTACCAGCTCATCAAGACACGAAAAGGCAAGCCTTTGGCAGGCGGGCTCGTCTCCTCCATTTTTCGCCAGGTCGTATCTGGCCTTCATCATATTCATGCGTCTGGCTACTTTCATCGCGATATGAAGCCAGAGAATCTACTCGTCACCACAACGGGGCTATACGATTACCGGCCTTTGTCGCCCGTCGCCCCACCCGATGCACCACCTGAACGGGATGTGGTTGTGATAGTGAAGCTTGCGGACTTTGGATTGGCAAGGGAGACAAGGAGCAAACCACCGTATACTGAGTACGTTTCGACCAGGTGGTATCGCGCCCCGGAAGTGTTGCTCAAAAGTAGGGATTATTCTAATCCCGTGGATATGTGGGCGCTTGGTACAATCATGGCCGAACTCGTTAACTTGAGACCATTGTTCCCTGGTCAAGGCGAGATGGATCAGATTTTGCGGATATGTGAGTTGCTTGGGGATCCTTGTAATGACTATGGCGTAGATCAACGAGGAAAGCCGGTCGGCGGAGGAAAGTGGTCCAAAGGTGTCAAGATGGCAAAAGCGGTTGGGTTCGCGTTTCCCAAGGTTGGTCTTTGCGGTGTTCCCATCTTACTTTTGTACTAATCATATGTGCAGATTCATCCACAAAATATCTTTTCACTCTTCGACGCAGCAGTCCCGGTCAAGTTGATCGAGTGTATATCGGACCTTCTAAAGTACGATCCCGATGCGCGACTCACAAGCCGTCAATGCCTCGAGCACCCATACCTGCTTGAGACGACGCCTTTGAACAGCCCTCCGAGCCCCCCCACTCAACCCGTCCAAACGCCGGCGACAGCACTACTGGGCTCCAAAAATATGCACAGAAACGGTATCCCTCCCGACACATCCCTTCATTCTATCTCGCCTCGCAATCTCCCCCCCTCTCATACGCATACATCCGTCAACCACAAGCCCGAGCTTCCCATACCGCATATACCGGACGTTTCCTCTTCGCATAGGTCATCTTTCTATGATATCACGGAGCGACCGCGGGTGGTATCTGAGTCTTCGTCAAGAACTTCAGAATATAGGAACGGCTACCCCACCTCCGGTGTGCCTGTAGATGTTATGCCTCTACCACCAGACGGTTCTGCCTATGGGTCGTCTATCTATTCACTCGGCGGCGATCGCATCTCGCACTCGCTATATGCGTCAAGTGGTCCAGGTGACTGGGATGCTATGGACGTGTCGCCTCAAGGAGAGACTCATCCAGACCACTATATTGTATCTGCGAACCAAACGACGGAAATCCAGACCTCGCCGATGGCGCGCGAGTATCCTTCACGCCCTGTCGATCCGGAGCCGATACAGGAGCACGCCCAGGACCTTCCTCCGTCGCACGGGCCCAAGCTTGGCAAGCTGGGTCCCTTTGGCTTCGGCAAGAAGACCAGCAAATGGGGTCTTGGCATGTTTGGGCATGGAGACAAGGGGGCGCAGTCACTGCCTCCTGTCCAGGAGGTCAATGTAGCATCTGCAGGTTCCACACCGTCGCTTAAGCGCACGCAGTCATCTAGTACCGACAGCCGCTCTCTCCCCGAGGCATCGCCCATGCAAGAGTCTCAACCCCCTATCATGGATGCCAAGGCGCGAAAGAAGGAGGCCACGCGCATAGCGCGTGAGGCAGAGAAACAACGCCGTCAGCTTGCGGAGCGGATGCATCGTGAGCAGGCGCGAGCGGTCATGGAGAAGCAAAGGCGGCTCCTCGATAATGAGGAGGTTGCTGGCCAAGGCGTTCAATGGCAGTGGATGTCTGCGCACAGTGCTCTCATGGGCGCGCCGCCTCCGATGCCTCGTGAGAAAGGCAAGCAGACGTCGGCAACAGGGCCTATCAGGCAGACACAGAGCTATGGCACGACCTCCAAGACTGTCAAGGCCGCCGGCGGAAACTTCAAACCCGGCCAGAGCTCTATGTCTCGCGTGGATTGGCGGTCTGATAGCGAACGGGTGGCCAAGGCGCGGCGGAGAGACTTTGACGATGACCACTCGATGTCTTCCTCTGACTTGCCGCCTAGCGGGATGTCTGTCATCTCGTTTGCTACGGTGGATAGCGATCCTGGCCCTGCGCGTGCGCGACATCGCCCGAGCGTATACAGCAGCATGGGCCGGATGGCATCCATGAACTCATTGCGACCCGCGCTGGATGATTTCTCGGGCCGGGGGCGGTCATCAGCATCGCTGTCGTTGGAGCAGCAGCTGGTCAACGACTTCCATCTACGCGCGTCGGTTGATTCGTCATCACTGTCAGATGGCGGGTCGCCGCCGCCGCCGCCAATGCATATGCTGTCACTGTCGTCTCCAACGTGGCAACATGCTGATCGGTCACCCGGGTCTAGCGTCATCGACGGAGGGAGCGTATCCCGGCATCCTCCAGATATCGCCAAACTGACCATTCCTCAAGCACCTCGACATCCTAGCCAGTTGGGTGGACCCTACGGTCACCCGCCAAGTCCAGGTGTCGCGCCGAAATCCGCTATCAATCCGATCTTCAAAGTCGTGAGTAGAGTTACCATGGCAAGCGTTGCCCCACATTCTGATATTGTTTTCAGCCACCATTACAGGGTTTAGATCGGCCAGGCTCGT